CTTCTGTGGCTTCCCAGTAATTCAGGACTTGGGAAATGGGAAGTTTCACTATGCCGTCATGAACAGCAAGTGCTGGTGACTCCTTGTTGAGAGGAGAGAGAGGGACTATGACTTGAAGAGTGATTATCAGTTACAACTTCCTTGCAGTTTTTTTCAAGCACTTGATCACCCACAAACTCATGATTTGTGGTTTTGTGTGGGCAATGAAGCAGATGGTGGTGCCCGGTTTCAAAACCAGAGCCAGAGGGGTGGAGGAGTGGAGGGTTTAGGGTCAAAATAAGGGGGGTGGGAACAGTATGGGGAATAGAACCAAAATGAAAATGCATACATTGTGCAAAAATGAAAAATGATGTAAGAATTATATAAAATAAAAAATACATTAAAAAAAAACACCTGAGCCAGATTTGCTAACAAAGTCCTGGACTAAATATTTAGGCTTATTATGAAAGGAACAACTCCAGGGAAGACATGCACAGGGCAAGGCACAGGGGAAGGGCGCAGAGCTGCCACGCTCTCCCCTCTGCAGATCTCCACATGTTCACCAGTCAGGACGCGCTCTATTCTTTTTTAAATGTACTTTACTTTGCTCCTGTTATATAGGTTTTGTCTCTTTAGTCCATATTGCACAAAATTATTCAATAACCATTTATTGATATGGATATTAAGGGGAAAAGATTAAAACTTTAATTTTAAAGAGTAGGGCCTCCCTGGTGGCACAAGGAGTTAAGTTTCAGCACTATGAAGCTGTCTTCATCCTCTGCAGCGTGAGTTCAATCCCTGACCAGGGAGCTGACCCACATGGCGCAGCAGACCTCTCCTGACTTGCCCACTGCTCCGCTCAGCAGTGTATTTCAGTCAGTCTGCCTGTTCTGCTCCCCACTGTCCTGGTGAATCCTCTCACCCCCCACATCTCTGGCCTACACCCCAGCTCTTGTATGTATAAATAAATCTTTAAATTTTTTTTTAAATAGTACAGAAGTATGCAATATGTGATATGGTCCCTATAAGCACTTTTGCGTTGATATATGAGCCAAATCCAGAAGAAAAATCATATGGATAATGTTCTTTAGCAGTAAAACACCCCATCTTAGAGTTTTTTGAGAATTCTTGCTATAGTTTCCCTAAACACCCTCAACACTATAGAATGATTTCTAGTATGTGCCTCACATGAAATGTCTAAGTATTACATAAAATCTCCATAAAGTATTAAAAGGAATAATCATACAATAACAGGTTGGACCATAAGAAACCAAAAATTTCCTTCATCAGCACAGTTTTTTACACTAAGGGGTGAGATTCAGTGTTTAGTAAGGGAAAAGTATTCATAGGTTTGAGTATCTATATAATCCTGTGATAAATTTCCCTAATTAAGGTAAGTGAAAGGTTATTCCATTAAGACACAAACTTACCAGGTTTTGATTACAAAAATAATTTAAAGACAAAAATAACTGAAACTTCTGTCCCATTGAATGTATTATCCATCAAAAACCAATTTAAGCCTCCCTACTGGCCTAAGTCTCAGGGTTTTAACTGCTATGGCCTGAGTTCAATTCCTAGTCAGGAAGCTAACCCACATATGGTGTGGTAGACCTCTCCTGTCTCACCCACTGGTCCCCTATTTCAGTAAATGCCCCTGTTCTGCTCCCCACTCAGTTCTGGTGAATCCTCTCACTCCCTGCACCTCCGGCCTATACCCCAAATCTAAGATTTTAAGATTTTATTTTAAGATTTTATTACTCAACTAAAGTCATGACTCTACAATCACTTCTCTAGATCTCCCACTCCATGCTGCAGGGCAATTACCCCTACCCAATATCAGAAGATAAAATGCAATTTTCTAGAGAGGGTAAAACTGAGGGTGCAAGGTGGGATAGAGGGTGTGAGTTATACAGTGAAAACAGGAGACAATTAAACGATATGCCTGTGCAAATACACTGTAGGTTGGAACCCCCAGTTAGCTTCCCTCTCTCTTCTAAAATAGGCTATCATTCAGGATTTCCCAGCAAATTTACCACCCAAATCGCCAGAGTGAATCTCAAAGTCATGAACCTTGTCTACAAGCCTAGGGATTTCAATTAATTTCCTCCATTTTTAATTATGAGCATACAACCAGGAATTACCAGGTATATGAGGAAAATTCAGAAAGAAAGCCCCTTAGAGGAAAAAAAGACCATGTAAAGAAAACAAAGAAGATACTCAATATTGTACTCAAAGATGTAAGATGATAAACAGTAGCAAGATACATCAAGTGAAAACTCGATGAAGGGCTGGAAAGTAATGAGAAAAACGCCCCGAAAACAGAGCAAAAATAATGTGAGAAGGAAAACAACACAGGAGAAATTTAAAAATTAAAGGAATAGCCCAGAAATCCAATATTCAAAAAGAGAAACAGAAAGAACAGAGGAGGGAACGCAGCAACAAATAATTCAGAACTGAAGAACATATTTCCATAAGGAAGGTCTCACCAGGTGCACAGTACCATGGATGAAAACACACCAATTCTAGGACACATCACTGTGAAATTTCAGAACACTGCAACAAAGAAGAAAGCCTACAAAAGCTTCCACAACCAAAGTAACATGAAACATAATAGCTGTGAGCTTGTCAAAAGCAACCCTAGATGCAAGAAGATGAGAGAATCTGGTAAAATAGAAGATATACATTTGAATGAACCAGCAATTTCACTACTAGATATATGTCTACCTAATAGCTTCGATAAATGTACAACATTGTTTATAGCAGTTTTATTTCTAATGCCTCAAAACTGTAAACAACCCAAATGTTCATCAAGACAGGACAGAGATATAGTCACACAGCAGAATACTATAAGACAGTGAAAATTAAACCACAGCTACCTATAACAATATGGATGAACGTCACAAATAAAATGTTGAGTAAACAGAGCCAAATGACCCCACTGACATAAAGTAATAAAAATAAATTATATTACTGATACATATAGAGGTGGCACAACCATTGATATAAAAAAGGATTCACTAAAAATCAAGGGAAAGGCCAAGTTATAATTGAAAAACATGGTGAGCTACTAGAGTACATTCAATGTTCTACTTTTTGACCCAGGTGGACAGTTTGCAAAGATTTGTTTCATAATTAATCAATAAACCATGTATGTGTTTTATGCACTGTTTCATATGTATTTTACTTTAAAGCTGAAAAGATGACAGTGGAGTCACGCCTTCAAATTCTGAAATAAAATTATTTTCAACCTAAAATTCTATACTCATCAAAATAATAGTTTAGGTGTGAGAGTAAAATAAAGACATTTCAAATATGTGATATGTCAAAGAATGTATCATATACATTCTCTCAGGAAACTATATGAAGAGACCTGTCATTTTGAGGAAAATAAGAGTCTAAATTTTTTTAAAAATACATTTCCATAAAAGGGCCTCCCCGGTGGCGCAGCGGTTGAGCGCTGGGTTGCGAAGCTCCTGCGGCCTCTGTGGCGCCCGTTCGATCCCCAGCTGCTCCCCAGCCACTGGAGGAGAGTCCCACATGGCGCGCAGACCTCTCCTGCCGCCCGCTGCTCCCCTCAGCAGTGTACTTCAGTCCTTCTGCCTGCTCTGCTCCCCACTCTGGCTCTGGTGAATTCTCTCACCCTCCCGCGCTTCTGACTGTACCCAGTGCATGTATAAACAAAACAAACAAATAAATAACATGCCTCTATTTAAAAAAAAAAAAAAAAAATTTATAAAAAAGGGCCTCCCCTGGTGGCGCAGGCGGTTGAGCACAGCGCTGTGAAGCTGTCCGCAGCCTCTGCAGCACAGGTTCAATCCTGGCCAGCCGGCAAGGGTACCACATGGCACAGCAGACCTCTCCTGTCTCACCTGCTGCTCCCCTCAGCAGTGTATTTCGTCAGTCTGCCTGTTCTGTTCCCCACTCTGTCTCTGGTGAATCCTCTCACCCTCCTGCACATCTGGCAAGTACCCCAGCTCTTGTATAATAAATAAATCTTTAAAAAAAAAATACATTTCTATAAAAATGTTATCTTACCATGTGGTATGTTTACTATGCTATTTTATTATATCCAATAATAAATATATTTTAAAATAATTTTAATCCATTAAAGATATCAAAAGATAGCTTACAATAAACAAAAGCTGTCGGGGCATTAAGAGTATAAAGGGTATTTTTTTCCTAGGAACAATTTATTTTTTTACATAGGTATAATTTAGATTCTGCAGATAAAAAATTAAGAGTCATTAATGCAGCACTCTGGCAGGAGGAATACCGAAACCAAAAATTTTGAGATCTGCTGGCATAAGCATTAGAACAAACACCAAATAAGGATTTAATCAAAATTGTTAGGCATTATTTGGAGAAAATATAAGAGAAGCAGAGCTGATCAAAATAGTTAATGAAAGGCAGAAATATGCTATAAGGTACGTGCCAGAGATAAGTACTTCAAAGATCTATGACTCTACTTCTCTAACATAAATCTCCTTTCATTCTGATCTGTAATTTGTCTTACTTACTAAACCATAATCCCCTTAGATGGTGTTTTCTTCTGTATCCTCAAAAGGTCTCATTATCTCATTACCACCTATATCATATAGCAAGTAATTAACAACTGTTTAAGTCAATGACTATATGAGATAATCCAATTCATAAAATTAGGTCACTGCAGCAAAGAACTGCCTCTTCCATTTTTTAAAACCTATGCAGCAGTACTGGACTGTCCTGTTTGAAAATATCAAGTCAGTGATTCTATGACTCCTATGACCCCTACTCAGGAAACCACATGTATACATGTGGACACATACGTTTTTTGACCTGTTATAGCACAATATCAAGTACTCTTGAATTTCAATAACAAAGATTTTTTTTCTATATTTCTCCCCTCTCTATGACTTCTATGACCCTTCTGGTCTCTCTGATTACACCTCACTTTTGTGTACCATCTTTAGGTTGGCATGACCAACAAAACACCCCTAGCAGTTCCCAGAATCAACAAAGAAATGAAGTAAAAATCATCTTACCAATAGTATGATTCCCATAAAGAAGCTGCTCCAAAATTGCTGTTTTCCCAACAGATAACAATCCACAAACCACAACTTTGCAGCCTTTTCCCATCTTCTCTCAGGATATCACTGTAAAAAGAATCACAAGTCCTTATGAGCATAGCAGGTCTTTAAAATTACATACTGTTGAAATCAACCTCTTTTTCCTAAGTTAAAAAAAATTTTTTTAAGATTTATTTATGCACTGGGCTGCAAAGCTGCCTGCAGCCTCTGCAGCGCTGATTCAATCCCCGGCCCCCCATGAGGGTCCCACATGGCACGCAGACCTCTCCTGTCATGCCCGCTGCTCCCCTCAGCAGTGTACTTCATCAGTCTGCCTGTTCTGCTTCCCACTCTGGTGAAATCTCTCTCCCGCGCGTCTGACTGTACCCAGTGCTTGTATAAATAAATAAATCTTTTTTAAAAAAAGTATGCATACAAGAACTGGGATATATGTCAGAGGTATGGGGGTGGTGAGAGGATTCACCAGAGTGGGGAGCAGAACAGGCTGATTGACTTAAGTACACTGCTGAGGGGAGCAGCCAGCGAGTCAGAAGAGTTATGCTGCGCCATGTGGGTTGCTCCCTGGCCAGCTGCAATTGAACTCATGCTGGCGGAAGCTGCGACAGCTTCACAGGTTGCATTTTAACCCCTTGTACCACCAGGGAGGCCCTCTACTTTTGAATTTAATAAGCAAATCATACATGGGGTGGGGGGGGGCTGGTTAAATCTAAAAAAAGGACACACAGAAGAATGTCCTTCCAAACCCTTTTTCCAAGTTGTGCTTCCTTAGAACAATCAGTTACCAGTTTCTTATATATCTTTACTGATGAATTCCAAATAATTGTAATACATGTAACCAAAACATACTTGTTTGTTTCCAAAAGGAATAAACACATTCTACACAAAAATATTTCTATACTAGTCTACAAGAATCCCAATCAAATCCTGGATGAAACTAATTCTATAAAGACTGTCTTTTGGCCTCCTGGTGGCACAGGGGTTAAAGACAGCCCTATCAAGCTATCACCAGCCACTGCAGCACAAGTTCAATCCCCAGCCAGCCTGGGAGCAACCCACATGGCACAGCAGATCTCTCCTATCTTCCTCACTGCTCCTCTCAGCAGTGTATTTCAGTAGCTCCTCCTGTTCTGCTCCCCACTCTCTCTGGTGCATCCTCTCCCCTGCCCCAACTCTGGCTTACACCCCAGTTTTTGTATGCATAGATCTTAAAAAAAAAAAAAAAAAAAAAAAAAAAAAAACTGCATGCTCATTAATATAGAAAAATCCACATTTGAACAGAAAGTTAAGGAGACAGGGGCCTCCCTGGTGGCATAAGGAGTTAAGTCCCAGCACAATGAAGCTATCCGCAGCCACTGAAGCACAAGTTTGATCCCTGGCCAGGGAGCTGATCCACATGGTGCAGCAGACCTCTCCTGACTCACCTGCTGCTCCCCTCAACAGCGTATTTCAGTCAATCGCCTATTCTGTTCCCCACTCTGTCTCTGAATCCTCTCACCCCCCTGCACCTCTGGCCTGTATCCCAGTTCTTTAATGCATAAACAAATAAATCTTAAAAAAGTTAAGGAGACATATAAATAAAAATTTGGATAACGAATGGACATAATTTTTTAAGCAAACATTAATTCTATTAAAGCTGCTGTTAGTCTTTACTCAGGCCAGTGAGAAAATGGATTTTGTTAGCCACCTGGGCTCTCTTATACTTCTTTTTGTGGCATACTTTTTAATGCTAGATAAATTACTCAGGGCCTTAAACTAGTTCTCCTAACTTCCTAACATATCCAAAGAGCAAGATCAAGTAACATTTTCTTTTTTTTTTAAAGTACACTGAACTTTATTTTTTAATATTTATTTATTTATTTATACAAGCACTGGGTACAGTCAGAAGCGCGGGAGGGTGAGAGAATTCACCAGAGCCAGAGCGGGGAGCAGAGCAGGCAGAAGGACCGAAGTACATTGCTGAGGGGAGCAGCGGGCAGCAGGAAGGTCTGCGAGCCATGAGGGACCCTCCTCCAGTGGCCGGGGAGCAGCCGGGGATTGAACCTGCGCTGCAGAGGCTGCAGGCAGCTTCGCAACCCAGCGCTCAACCGCTGCGCCACCGGGTAGGCCCTCAAGTAACATTTTCTTCAAAGCTTTTATTTTCCAGAAAGCAAGGTACCAGAAGCCAAGGCAGACAAGAAACAAGGCTCATTAAAAACAAAATATCCTGAAAAGAAAATTGAAACTTCAGAGTGACTTTTGTCATCTCCTACCACCTTATTTCTCCAATGTTCTTACCTAGAAGCATATTCAATAACTGACTAAAAGCAATGCCCCAACTCCCCGAAGTCAGAAAACAATAATTGCAAAGAAATTCAAGTAAACATTCTGATAAAAGGGAACCTGGATATCTTTCTGTGGTCATATACTTACTGGACTGTGACAACTAAAAACTCAGTACAGACATAACTTTCATGGTGGCAGAACAGCAGCTGTATTTGTATGTATGTGTATTGTATATCACTATTGCTTTTCTTCTTTACCAACAACGAAAACACTAAATAACAAGTGAATGTCTACCAAACCTCTATTTTCTCAAAGCCTATAATTTTTTTATGACCCAAATGAACCACAATACTAACCTGATGAGAAGGAAAATTTCAATGCTTTGATTACGGTAGTATAACAGCAACACAGCATTTCCTTCCAGAGCACTGCATTTTAGCAGCAGAATCATCACCACCACTTATGTGACACAACCATTATTTCCTGGGTAACATATTTGGGATGTTTTTAAATCATCCTAAGTATATTTATCACTGTTTTAAGTAGAACCACTTAGGGAACTTTCTTTACATTTTCAACATAACTGCAACAGAAAATTTCTTAACCCTTCCTAAGTGTAGAGTTTTATGGTATGGTATGGTTTGTATAGTATGGCATCTCCTATGTCAGCAACCATAGCCCATTTTAAAAGATTTTCTACACCTAACTCTGAATTAATGATTTAATGTCATCTCATTTATCATCAAATTATACTCCCTCTGCATACTGTGGTCTCCTGTAAGTTATACCACTGAATCTTTCAAAGGTTTTTAATGATACCAGTTAAAAAAAGTTGCCAGCAAACCATGTTAGAAGAGGAGGAAAAAGAAATATATCTGCCAGAGGGTAAGAAAAATGATGGCAGCACAGAACAATTCAGCTGTAAGAAAAGATTTCTGTTAGAATCTAAATTCCTATGTTTCTATTGTTATTTTATAGTGTTACTTTTCTTCCTCTGAAAATATCTTAGTTCCAAGAAGAATTTCTAAATACTGGGCCTCCCCAGTGGCGCAGCGGTTGAGTGCTGGGTTGTGAAGCTGCCCGCAGCCTCTGCAGCGCTGGTTCGATTCCCGGCTGCTCCCCGGCCACCAGAGGAGGGTCCCGCATGGCGCATAGACCTCTCCTGCCGCCCGCTGCTCCCCTCAGCAGTGTACTTCGGTCCTTCTGCCTGTTCTGCTACTTGCTCTGGCTCCGGTGAATTCTCTCAACCTCCTGCGCTTCTGACTGTACCCAGTCCTTGTATAAATAAATAAATAAATCTTAAAAAAAAAAAAAAAAGAATTTCTAAATACCAATCCTTATTTCCTCTTTCCCTCCTGTTCAATCAAAAAAAAAAAAAAAGCCCCTTTCCCACACATTATACCAGTCTTCAAAGAAAGTCAAGTGCTTTCAAAAGCAAAATACCGTGACTATAATTGAGTGAAGCAAACAGTAATAAGAAAAAAAAAACCCAATGATTAACAGAATAGATCCTCTGTAAAAAGAAGGCAAATTTGATGGTTGGGGATCACAGATAGCTGGAAAAATGCTGAAACCGACAGTATCCTGAGGAATTCAGAAATCAAATACTCTATAGTCTTGAAAATAGTCTTAATATAGTGGCTTTAAAAGTGGTATATAGGGGTGCACCTCCCTAGTGGCGCAGGGGTTAAAGACATTGCTATCAAGCTACAACCAGCCACTACAACATGAGTTTGATCCTTGGCCAACCAGGGAGCAACCCACATGGTGCAGCAGACCTCTCCTGTCTCACCTGCTGCTCCCCTCAGCAGTGTACTTTAGTCAATCTGCCTGTTCTGTTCCCCACTCTGTCTCTGGTAAATCCTCTCACCACCCCCTCCACCCCCACACCTCTGGCCTACACCCCAGCTCTTGTATGCAAAAATAAATCTTAAAAAAAAAAAAAGAAATGCTCTACTTTTAGATAGTGAGGGAAACCTGTATTTCTGTTCATTTTAAGGAAATCATTCTACTTTATAAGTAAAACATCACCTTTCTATGCAACCAGAAAAATAAAACCAATGAAACACTGTTAACATCAACAAGAGATGCTGTCTTATGTAAGCATGGAGGAAAACTTCTACACTGTGTATTTATGTAAATATTATGCATTGCGTGCAATTCTTATCCATATGTGACTACATCTTATGTAAACATACATAAGTGTTTTACAAACGAACAATGAAAGCAGACCCCAGCTTACCTTTTTTAAAATTCATTCAGCAAATATTTACTGAAAGCTTATTATAATGCCAGATATTTGGGGACAAATGAGGGGGCAAAACGAGAAATGAACCCTGCCCTCTGGAATCTAAAAATCAGTTGGAAATGCCAATTCAAATCCTGCAAAACAGCTAAGTGAGAAAATGCAAAGAAACAAAACTGCAAAAACTAATTGAGAAATTAGCAGTGATTGTTCACATTGCCAGAATCTTCTTTCTAAATGATTGATCCAACTTTGAAGTCAATCATCCTTGACTCATTTCTTATACCCACAAGTGATCAATCCTCTACCCTTGAAACATTCCTGGGGGGAGGGACCATTTAACACCTCCATCACTAATTAAGTGGTGGAAGCACCACGGGTCTCTCACCTTCTCTCACCTGGTCTCAAAGATGACCATGTTATAATTCCCAAAACCTGTGAGTATTTTACACAGTAAAAAGGACTCTGTGACTATGACTAAATTAAGAACCTTTAAATGGGGAGATTGTCCTGTAAGAGGGAGACAGGTGTATCAGCCAAATCAAGTGTGTGTGTGTGG